ATATATATACATTCTAATATCAAGTCTTTATGAACATATTCAGCAAAATATTTATTTTGAAATTACTAGGAAGTTTTCTTCGTGCTAATTATACTTTTACATCTAGAAGAATAATCTCAGTGAAAAAAACTTTCCACAGTTGCAAAATAAACATTTTGAATATGGTCATTACTACATTGGTCTAGTTTCCATTGAAACTATCAATTCAATGCAGATTAAATTTAGAAGATTCCATTGAAAGTAAAAACTATGCATTGAAATGGGAGTAAAACAAGTACAAACACATTTCTATCGACTCAAATTTGATTCTACGCTTCAATGGAAATCATTGTTAGCAATCGATGTGATAATCATACCTTGCCGCAGGAGTACATGCCTGGTGGCAGTGTTCACGTACTCATTAGTTGGCTCACCCGAGTGAATCATAAGACCATCAACAAACTTCATCGATTTCGCTCTTTGACCACGTAATTTGCCACTGACGACGACCTCGCAACCTTTCGCGCCAGATTCCATGATAAAACGCAGAACACCATAGCACGCCCTGATAATAAAATAATATTTAAAGAAAATTACAAAAGATATAATTAGAAATAATAAAATAAATAGATGTTATTAGGAGTAAGATAAATGAAAAGAAAGCAGATAAATTCTGACTTGCCTTCGTACAGCAAGACCTCCAATCAACTTGTAACGAAGAGACTCAGCCTGTGCGATGGCACACAGACCACGTGTGGCCACTTTCTCTGCGTATAACTCAACATTCTGAGGTTCTTTGAAGTTGAAACGCTTCTGTACCACAGATGTCAGTTCCCTGATTCTACGGCCTTTTTCGCCAAGTACGCTCTGTGTGTGGGTAGCTAGTAAAATAATCTCAGTTCGATTTGGTGTCACTCGGACCTCTACACCAGAATAGCCATCTTCGGCGAGTTCACGAGTCAAGAACTCGTTTAATTCTGCTCTGAAGACACCATCGCCTACAAACTGAAAATAAAAAAAAAATCTGAAATACACATCTATAAAACACAAAAATTTCTTTACATTAAATAGCATAAATATATATTTAATTTATTTAGACTATCCATTAGATTTAACATAAATAATCCATTATATTTAAGAGAACTGTATCATAAAAGTTTGTAACAGGAGTAAATTGTTATATTGCTTATTATACAAGTGGAAAAGTAAATAAAAATTAATTAATGGAAGTTTATATTAATTTATTTTATAGGTTATACTTGAAATAAATATAATGCAAACACAAATAAGTAATTTCAGGATATTACAGAAATCACAATATATCGAATTCCATCTACTAGAAATATATACATTTTAAGTAATTCTGAAAAAGAACATGTGAGTTGAGAAATCCACGCGAGAACGACGTTGGAATCCATGACATCCGCGGACCGCAATGATCGCGTTCATCAAATTTTCGGCGAAATATCGCCGCACAAGTTTCCCGCATTGCAACAATGAGAATATTTTTGCGTATTGCACATGATAAATTCTGAAGATCGCTAACCTTCCTTTTCTTAGATATTGAACGATTCTCCATCACTGCCTCATATTTTAGCGAAGCCAACGAAAGAAACCAAGGGATTAAAAAGACCTGTCTAGGGGAGAAATCCAGAGAAGTCGATCGAAGCGCATGCGCCACGTATTGAATTCATCAATGGGGAAAAAACCCTATTAGTGGCGCCATCTATTACAACGTATTATTGATTATTGCTATTGTTGATAACAAACATATTATCAATGAAATCGATCTACATATATACCAGAGAGGAACCTGAGAGTAGCCATCTTAATCTAAAAACATCTTATATTGTGCAAACTGTTATCATGCTTTATTAAAGACAATTACTACTAAGGCTTTATAAGCGTAAAAATTTTATAAAAAGAGATGGAAATATTGATGGATTATATTATATATGTTTAATTTATGTAAATTAATAAAACTTATTAAAAGGGATTAATTTTTAAAGAATATTTAATTTAATTCTGTACATACATTTTTAATGTTATTTATCTATAACGATGCTCAATTGATAACATATTCTATGATGAACAACAGACAGCAGTAAATAACATGTAATCATCTCAATAGAAGGCGCCACTGACATGATTTGTTTCATAAATTGCCCTGGATGAATTGCAGCCATTTCTGATAATTTTTAATTAAAAAAATGCATAGATATTACAGGTCTAATAGACATGAACCAAATGACTGTACTTTTTTCTACTGGCAATTCAAATGGCGATTTAAAATGGCATTTATAATTAGAATTGCATGATGCATTTCTGTACATTGTTTCTTTTATTATTTCCAAAACATTGAAAATATACGTACTTATTTAATTTTGCAGAATTTTAGAATGAGCTAAAATACAAGCTCACTAAATAATAAAAACAAGAATCCATTTTAATTTTTTCGAATGATTTTTTTTTTAAATCTTCTTTGACAAAAATATTAAAAAAGATAATAGTTTATATATTGTCAATATTGTCAATATTTTTTAAATCATCATTTGCTTTTATAAACTCTCCATTGAAAAATTATAATAAGATAAAGTTTTAAAATTGGTTGAAAAAGAAAACATTTTATAATTTTGTTAAACGTGTATTTCACTATTCATTATTTAAACGTTACAAATGTCTTAATTAAGTCAAAATAATTTTAAAACAAAAAAATTTTTTAATTAAATTTTTCTTCTCAATTAAAGAATCGATCTTGTCAATTAAAGAATCGATTCTGAATTGTTTCCTGAGTCGGACCGATCGAAATCGATCTATTTAGAAATCGGGGCTGAATGAATAGATCTGTTAAAAATCGATTCAATTAAGAATCATATTAATTTTTAATAGTATGATATAATTTTAATAAAAGCGATAAAACAATTAAAATACGATTTTGATTTGTCTCTATATAATTTAAAATAATTTTAATTAAAAAATTTAGAGGTTTAACAACTCCCATAGTTATTAATTACTAACGTAATGTCGTATAAACTCGCTTTAAATTAGATTTTATAACTGTGTTATAAAATTAAATTTAACTAGTATTTATACATTTTATAATAATTAGTTAATAACTATGGATATATAAACTCGAATTAATGATGAAAACAGACATGGCGTAAAAACAGAGTACGCACACAACATGCTTTTGTGTCATTTAAAAATTAAGATAATGACAACCGCTAACTACAGAGCATAACTGCGTTCAGAAATTTCATCGGAGTGCATCCAAATATCATCTTTTATCTTTGTTTAATATTCGATAAGCAACAGAGATAAAATGATATATCTTGAATTCCTAAATATAATTCTGCGATAATAAAAATTACTGCGTTCAGAAAACAATTAAGACACAAATGACAATGTTATAAAAATATACAGTATAATATATGTAACATTAAATTATTCATTTTTTATTATTAGTTACTACAATACATTTCAGTACGTGGTAAGAATGATATGTTATTTGAAAATAAATTAAGGCAATTTTCGATTAAAGAAATCGAAAATCGATTCTCATTAAATCGAGCTGCCTTAAACTCAAGATTTGCCAAATCGATTTAGAATATAGACCTTTCGGGGATAAAAAAATTGTTTTTAAAGAATCTAGTCTAAATCTAACATCTCCGCTAAAGAGTTGTCCACGAGAATATCTAATACTATCGCCATTTTCAAAGATAGCATGCGGTATCCAGATGTTTACTCGACAAGTCTTTAAATACTAGCCATAACACTTGTTATTTGACCACTCTCTACTTATCGCGTCTGCGTCGTCTGTAGCATGACAACACGTACGCACATCACAAACGTGCGTTTTGTCGTCTGCATCATCGTGCATGAAACATGGAATGGCGAACAGTGGTGGTGATAGTGCTGATTGTGAGCCTTTGCTTCTTTATCGTGCCGATCAAAGTAGATTTCGATAAAACTGAGAAGGACGCCGAACTGTTCGCCAACTATATAGCCCGATATAACAAGTCCTACAGGAATGATCCCGCGAAATACGAAGAGCGATTTGAGCATTTTCAGGTAAAGATTTGTCTGTAAACCATGATTGTAGGAATAGCTTAGGCTTAAAAAGGTTGCACAACAGCAACCTTGTTGTCCGTTTCGAATTTAACTCATCATTTAGTCCACGTATACATTGACACATTATAATTTAAATTATATAAGTTTCACATTAAGAGATTTTTTAATTAAATGATAATCGCTTATTAATTGCATTCTAATATGTAAATACAACATGCACACATACACGCGCGCGTCTATTATATCACTCGTAATTTTGCTGTGATATGATGTGACACTTTAGCTCTACTGATAGGAGAAGAGTAATGATTATTTTGGAAAAACTTTCTTTGATAAAATATGTTAAAGAAGATAATTTATTATCAATATTTTATTATCAATTTATTTACCAATATCTTTTCCAACGTTTAATCATCATTCGTCTTTAAATTCTGAAAAAATTGTAATAAGATAAAGTTTTGAAACTGTAAAAAAAATTCTAATCTGAATTTTGTTCAAGTACATTTCATTGTTTATTTAATATTATAAATGCCTTAATTAATATCTTCGTTAAAGAAATATTAAAACTAAATAATTTTAAAACTG